CAGAGTCAAAGGTAAATCCCAAAGGTCCGTCAGTCCATGAAGGTCAAGAACACTAGGAAGATGGGTCCCACTAAAATATCTCCTCCAACAGGTGCCCCCTGCCTGAAATGCCAGTGTTAGTGATTCATTCCTTTGTGAGCCACGCCCTGCAGAAAGCCTGTACCAGGCAGGCAAAACTGCTTCGGGAAGGCAGGAAGGGTCTCTCCCTGTGGTTCTAAAACTGTAAATACCCATGGGCAAAGGCAAGGATGAGTCTGTCAGTCCCTGCTTGCTGTGGTGGGAGGGCCGTGGATGGTGTGCGAGGCAACAGAGGGTCTCAGAGCCAGGGAGGTGTGGAGTAGGGTGGGGAGGGGGTGCTAAATCAGGGAATCAGTCACTGAAGTTCAGAAGGGGAAGCACTTAACCAGGGCAGGTGGACAGTTTCCAAGACTGGATGACTCCATAGCTTTTTATCAAAAACCACGTACTCCCGGAACACCCAAGCCAAAGAACGAAAAGTCAAATCCCTTTGTCCACAAAGTCACTAATTAAATATCCAATCATGTGTAACTCCATACTCCACTCCCAGACCCGGTAGGCAAAAGTGCCACCACATTACCTGGACGGAATCAGTATCAGTCCAGAAGTGTTTGTCGTGCACCCACAGGGGTTTGCCTCAATGCCCTGGGCAGAGGTGGGGTGGGGTGGGTGCCGTGGGGTGGGCCTCACGTCTGGTGGGGAGATAAAGCACCGAGGGTTGGCCAGTGTGGGGCAGGGCCCATAGCGCATGGTGCAGGGTCCATCAAGACAGGGACAGCAGACAAGGAGCTGAGAACAGTCAGGAAGACAGGGATCATCTGGAGAGGGCTCCAGGAGGTAGGCTAGGCAGCTCTGGAAGTTTGTGCTACTGTGAGCAGGAAGGCATGTCAGGTGCGGGAATGAAGGCTTGGGGAGGGGGCAGCCGGCCTGGTTGAGAAGGTTGTCGAGGTGGGTACAGCAGCAGGTCAGGGTCTGTGTGATGGACCCAGTTTATAGGTGCAGCTTCTGGCTGAAAGAGAGCGCAGGGCAGGGACTGCTTTCAGGGGAGGGAGGGAGGGAGGGAGGGCTGGAGCACGTCTTTCAAACCCAGCTGGAGCTGGATGTAGGCAGAGGGGTGGTGGAGGGAGGCTGCCAGGAGGGGTGGGGGAGAGCTGCGGTGCCTAGCCCAGCCTGCCCCCAGGCGGCCCCTCCTAGCAGGGCTCCAGCCCCAACCCGAAGGAGTGTCTGAGTAGGCCAGTGGGTGGTGCCAGGGCCGAGGATACTGTGGCCAAGAGCCTGGGGGGGGGAGGGCTGGCCACTCTCCAGCCCACCGGCTGGGCCCCCACAGTGGATAGTGAATGTCATCCCTCCCCCCCTCCCTCCTCCTTAATCACTGTCTGTGTGTGCCCAGTTGGGACACGCCCTTCGGAAGGGCTCTGGGCAAAAAGTGAAGAGCCCTACCCCTTGGCCCCTCCAGCCTTGCCTCCTTGTTCTCAGTCTCCGTGCCAGGTGCCTCTTGGGAACAGAAGCATAAAGGCGTCTCGGAGGGGTGGGGTGGGGTGGGGTGGGGGGAAGGGACCGAGGAGGCGACCAAGGCCACCCACAGAAGGGGCTCTGGGCTGGCTGGACTCTAGATCTGTTATTGTGCATTTCCTTTTGGGATGTGGCTTCTTCCCGGGGCCCTCTGTGGACCCCTCCCTCTCGCTCCCCGCCCCCCACTCCTCTCTCCAGTCTTTCCCACCCCCACCCCTCTTCCTGGGTCAGGTCGGTCAGAACTCTTGGAAACAGGCTGGCTTACAGACGCCTTGCTTTTCACATCTGCCTCCAAACCCACAACTCACTCTTGTTCCAGGGAGGGTGAAAGCTCCTTCTTCAACCACCCAGCACAGCTCAGAGAGCTAAACAGAAGCCCAGTGAGCGAACCCGCTACTGTCTTAACTTGAAACTTCAGTGATGCCTGGTCATCAGTGGTGACGTAAGCACACAGACGGCTTCTGAACGAGCGTGTACACACACAGGCTATGTTTGCACACATGTACAGAGAGGTGGGTACAGAGATGAGCCGTACTACCTAGAACTAGAGATAACACATATCTATTGAGGGTCTACCCCGACTACAACCCTGCAACCGCACCAAGAGACAGATCCTCTCATACCCCGCCCCTCCCACCCCCCATGCTGAGCCATGAGGAAATAGGCTCAGAGAGGTCTTGCCGCTTGGTCAAGGTCACAGGACTTGATAAATTGTAACATTGGGCGTGATACCAGAGTCTTCGGAGCTTTGGTGCCCAGGGGCGCTGGGGTGGCTCAGTGGGTTAAGTGTCTGACTCTTGATTTTGGCTCAGGTCATGATCTCAGGGGTTTGTGAGTTCGAGCCCTGAGTCGGATGGACTCCCAGCTGACAGTGCACAGGCTGCTTGGGATTTTCTCTCTCCCTCTCTCTCTCTGCCCCTCCCCTGCTCATGCACTTGCTCTCTCTCTCTCTCTCTCTCTCAAAATAAACTTAAAAACAAAAAAAGAATTCTGGCACCCAAAGGCTGCTTCTGGGGCTCAGCTCTGGCTTTGTCTAGCTCCTACAGCCGGTTCTCTTAGGAGTGGTTTGCTTTGCTTTGCTGATGTGTACCTCAGTTTCTCCAGATGCTGATGACTCTCACCAAACCAGGAGGCTATTATTAGCCAGGAGGAGGCTGAGATGGAGGGTGGACTAGTAAAAAGCACTGGAGCAAGTCTTCCCTAGAGAATTTGCACAGCAATGGTTTTGAGTGTTACTCAGACGGGAAACTCAGAGCCACCCTTGCTGCCTCCCCGTCCCTCCCAGCCTGCACCCCACCCCTGCCGATCCATCCATCCACAAGTTTATCTCCAAAATAGATCTTGAATCCACTCTCTTCCTGCCACCTCCTCCACCACTGCCCTCTGCTGGGCCACTATCCCTTCTGGCCTTGACCTGTGCAGAGACCGCCTAAGTGGCCCTCTTGCTCCCATTCCTGTCCTGCTCCTTCAGCCCAGGGCCACAAGGCTGCCTGTGTCATCTTCTTAAAACGTGCATCTGGGGCGCCAGGGTGGCGCAGTCGGTTAAGCGTCCGACTTCAGCCAGGTCACGATCTCGCGGTCCGTGAGTTCGAGCCCTGCGTCGGGCTCTGGGCTGATGACTCAGAGCCTGGAGCCTGTTTCCGATTCTGTGTCTCCCTCTCTCTCTGCCCCTCCCCCGTTCATGCTCTGTCTCTCTCTGTCCCAAAAATAAATAAATGTTGAAAAAAAAATTAAAAAAAAAAAAAACGTGCATCTGGTCACATCACAGGACACTTCAAGTGCAGTCCAAACTGCTCGCCACAGCCCCTGAGGCTCAGCAAAATTCCTGCTTCTCACTCCAAGCTCACCCGTGCCTTCTGCCCCCATCCTCTGGTTGAGTTCTTTGTCCTTCCTGTTGTGGGACTTTGCATGTGCGGATTCCTTGGCCTGACATACTCTCCCCCTATGCCAGGTCTTAACAGAAACATTACCTCCAGGGCGTCTGGGGGCCTCAATCAGTTGAGTGTCTGACTCTTGATTTCGGCTCAGGTCATGATCTCACGGTTTGTGGGTTTGAGCCCTGCATCAGGCTCTGCGCAGACAGCGTGGAGCCTGCTTGGGATTCTCTGTCCCCCACTCTCTCTGCCCCTTCCCTGCTCGCGGTCAGGTCGCTCTTTCTCTCTGTCTCAAAACTAAATAAATAAACATTAAAAAAACAAAGGAAAAAAAGAAACATCACCTCCTCAGGCAAGCCTTCCTTGATCACCACAGATAAACTAGAAAGGTCCCTCACCATCATCTATTTCAGACCTTTGATCAAAGCACTCATGCCACGTGCATATTTTTATTTAACTGCTTGCTTACACGGAATTATTTTCTGACTGTCCCTCCCACTAGAATAGAGGCTGCTTGTGGGCAGGGACCTCGTGTGTCTTTTTCACTGCGTATACCGGAGACACGATAGGCTCCTGGCAAACACGCGCGAGGCAAAGATTTGTTGAGAGAGCCTCAGATCTGGGAGACAGGCAGAACGGATCTAGTTCTGGATCTGTGCCCTCGAGGATGTCACACGGCTTCCCAGATCCTCTGCTTCCTCCTCTGTCAATGGGGGCCATGGATGAGATGATGACCCAGAGCCTTTCGAGGCCTGGTGCTCGGCAGTTGGGTGGGCCTTCACTCTCCAAGAAACTGCAAGCGCCGTTAAATAGACAAGAAGAGAAACTTGGCCATGCTGTACCTTGGATGGCTTTGAGAAGGCTCTGCTTCTGTTGTCCGTCCTGCTGACACTTTAGACAAGTCAGTTTGTGAGGACTTAGCCTGCTCGGGGCCGTGACTGGCCACCATCCCCACAGCACACCCTGCCGCGCAAGCATGGAAACTGGGGCTCGTCCAGAGAAAGCAGTTACTTCGGAGAGAACCAGCATCAAGTCAGGAAAGATTTTATCTAGGGCCTTCCGTCCCAGCAGTCATGCTCCCCCCAGCGCCCCCGGTCTGAGGCCTGACCTCCGAGGATGTCACCTTGTGTGGGTGCAACGCTTTAACTCCCAGTGGCTTTCTACTGGGCCTTCCTACCTGGCCTTCTTCGCCACAACCCGGGAGGGCAGACCGAGGAAACTGAGACGCAGACCAAAAAAGTGAGTGAGTGGCAGAAAGGAGGCCTTTGAAATCAAGGAAGAAGAACTCTAGTGACATTAATATTCTTTATATTATATAAATATAATTTGTAATTCATATATTATATATGAATATGTGACTTTAAGAGAATATTTATATGAAATATATTTGAAAAAATATATGAAATTCTTCCATATTAGAGAAAATTCGTGAAACAGAGGAGAGAGGGTCCCTCATAATCATACCACACTAGACAGGGTGGATACTTGTAGCATTAGAGCAGGTTAGGGCAGTTAGTCTGGGTCTTAGTGTCCCTCGCCCTCCCTCCCCCTCCCTCTCTCCCCCTCCTTCGCTCCCCCTGCCTCTCTCCCTCTCTCCCCTTCTGGTTCACTCACCAGAGTGAACATTGGCTCCATCTGACGTCCCACTTTGCACTTCTCAGGTGCTCCACAAATGTTTACTTAAATGTTGAGGCAAACTGAGAGAAAACTCAGCCTAGCCGGCTGGGGCAAGAGGAAGAGGTTGCACTTCAGGGGTGCCAGCCTCTGTCTAGGTGGCCCTGTGGCTTCCCAGTTCCGAGGACACGCCAAGTCCTCACTATTCCGAGCTCCCTGCTCGTGCCATTATCTATTATCGCAAGGGACTTTACCGCGATGAGAGGCTCTATCACTTTCATCCACAGATCAGATTTCACTGAAACGCAGTTACATGCTGATTTAAATAACAATCCGTAGCTGTTTAGCATCAGGAACAGAGAAGGAGCCTCGCACTTTGGATCTAGGCTCTGCGCTGACAGCCCTTTCTGTGGTCATAAAGGTTATCCAAATCTGCCGGTTGCCAATGCGACACACATTTCTGCCACCATGTTTTGGGAGGGGGGCAGACCCAGTCATCCGGAACCTCCGGGCAGTGGGCCAGGCTCCTTGACCAAACTCTCCCGCTCTTGGAGCACGCAGAGGAGATCCGGGGAAGCAGAGCTGTGGCCGCCTGGCCTTTGGCTGCCCTGTCCTTTGGGAGCTGGAAGGTGAGAGTGGGGCCCAGAAGGGAGGCTCGGATACTTGGAGCTGCCTCCTGCTTCTCAGGTGTGCTGAAAGACCAGCCAGAGCTTGCCCTGACCCCGGGCCCTTGGAGGGGAGGTGCTGGCTGAGCACTGGGTCCCGGAAGTGCTCCCTCTGGGGAAGCTAGGGGAAAGTACCCCACCTGGCTGGGACTCTGGGCAGGGCTCAGAGTCTGGCTGCCTGTACAATAGACAGAGTGAGTGGCCGGGTCCCAGCCAGCTGCCGCTCACAGCCCCAGGGCCCCAGGGTTGCCAGGGCCTCGCCCTCCTCTCGGATTGTGGATTGTATTGGGTGACGCAGTTAGGCACCCACGGTGGGGGGAGGAGAAAGTGCCAAGAGCCTCCAGGGCTCTGGGTGACTGGGCCTGTCACCTCAGAGCTGGGAGCCTTGGGGAGGAGGAGGGCTCAGCCAGGACCTGGCCAAGGGGGCAGCAGAGGGAAAGGGGGCAGCATTACCTGACAGGGGAGGCAGGTTCCTCCTCCCTTCTCCCTCCTCCCTCCCACCCTCCCTCCCTCCCTCCTCCCTTCCTCTCCCAGGTCTGTAGTAATTGCCTGTTTGTGCCCCACCCCCACTACTCCAGGCTTTGGCTATAAAGTGGTGAACACATCAAGATCTCCCCATCCTCATGGAGCTGACCTTCTAGTAGGAAAGACAATGACTAGACAAGCATCTGCCAGGAAGTCAGGTGGGTGAGGCCGCCGTCACTGCCCCCCACCCTGAGAAGCGGGGAGAGCCGGGACTGTACCCTATGCAGAGTGAGGACACGGAGTGAAGGCAGGTGTGACTTACCCAAGACCAACCCAGGAGAAGTGGTGGAGCTGCTATGCACTCAGTGCTCAGTACTCAGTGCTCAGTACTCAGTGCTCCCAGCACTCTCCCTCTTCCCTAGCACGGCCACCGAACAGACCTATCTGCAAAGCAAAACTCTGTGCCCCTAGGGATACCATTTTTTTAAAGGAGGTGTTTATACCCAGAAAACTAAAAAACAAAAATCAACTAAACTAAGAAGCTCAGGCTAGGCAAAGAGCTAACTCCGTGGTGTGAAATGACACTCCTGAGACAGGAGCCTGCGGGTCTAGACAGCCTGGGGAGCTGAGGGCCAGGCGACACTGGCCGCAAACTCTGGCCTTGACCCAAGGTCTCCTTAGTGACCCTGGTGAAAGCTGGCCTGTCGCTCCTGGGTCCCCGCAGATGTGTGAGGGCCCCATCACCCAACCGCGCTGTTGGTACCCTTTGGGCATCACAAATACACCCTGGGGGCCCATGTGTCCCTTCACAGCGGTCTGACCAGGAAGAGAAAAGGCAGTGTCGGGGATGAGGAAGATGTGGGCAGGACCACGTGTGTGTATGCAGGTATGTGTGTGCAGGGGTGTGTTGGGGGATGTGGGAGGGTGTATACTGAGGGGGCCGGTGAGTGGAAGGATGGGCTGCTGGGCTGGGCGGCTGATTGTTGATGGGGGAGGGGTGTGCACCAGCAGTTTCTCTGTTGGATGAAGCAGTGGACAGGCTCTGACACCCTCCAGATGCTCTAACTGGCGTTAGAGCGTGCTCAGGCAGAGGTCAGCCTCACCCCTAGAGCTGGTCAGCATGCCATCGCCAGGGACTGCTGGGTACGGCCAGGACGGCCCGCAGCCCTTCCCCAGGGCCAGACAAACTAGGCAGGCTGGAGGGTCAGCACAGGGACCCTCCCCATCCTGTGAGGGTGGCAGGGACCTTCTCATTGAAGCTGGCACCTTCCATAGGTCAAGGTTACGGCTGCAGGATGGACGGGAGGACAGGCCAGAACTGAATGGCCACTATGGAGATCAAACCCAGGCATGGTGATGCCTTTCTGAACGCGGACCTCTGATCCTCTGCTCGAGTCTCTGGGCAGATGGTTACAACGCGGATTCCTGGCACCCCCCCACCCCCACGCCCGGCCCACCGAATCAGAATCTGAGGGACGTTGTCATTGACCTAAGTCCTGCAGGTGTGTGCTGGGAGGCGGGGCCAAGGAGGAGGTTTTCCAACTGCTTGACTGTTCCTTACACGTTCTCCGCATCAGAGCATGCCAAGGACTAGAGACACCGCTGTGCAGGTAGCCGTCCCTACTCTCAGGCACTTGGGACTCTTCCATGTTATGGATAATGTGGGCGTGAACATCCTTATGCACACTTGCCCTTATGCGGACTCGTGCCTTAAAGTCCATTCTCAGAACAAAGGATGAAAAGGATATGAACATTTTTATGGCTCCTACCATAATAGCACTAAATTGCATTTTCCAGAAAGGCTGCACATTTGCGCCGACACCTGCAACGTGCAAGAGTGTCGATTTCATCACAGTGCTGCCAGCATTTCGGCCCCTCAGTTAAAGATAAGGAAACTGAGGCTGCATTGCTGAAGTGACCTGTGACCTATGTCAAGTGACACATTCAGTCAGTGCCAGAACTGGGACAAGAACCCAGGGATTTCTCATTCAGGGGCCAGGATGTTTCGCCACGGCCGACTTCCTCAGGCTCCAAAGAGGCAGGAGGGAGAAATCAAGTCTGGCAGGTCACTCTCTGTCCCCCACCCCTCCCTGCCAGCTCTGACCTCAGCTAGGAGCTCACGTTTCAGTGCATTTCATTGTTTTTCTGCCTGTAAAACCGGGCCTCTCCCTTGTCTGCTCAAGCTCCACATCCTGAGTGAACTCTCTGATTCCTCCGAGGAGGCCATCACATACTTGAACCGTGGGTTAGATGCAGATAAGTGGACGGGGAAGGAGTGGGACAAAGGCGAGATGACGGTCCGGTCCGGGGAAGGACAAAGGCCAGGCCAGATCGGCCAGAGCAGTGGGGGCCCCAGGGGGAAAGTTAAGACGCAAAGGAGTTGGGGCCCAGGGTGGCAGACAAAGGAGTCCAAATGGGGGGCCTTGAGCACACGCCTAGGCCTCCATCTGCTACTGGGATGTGGGTTGTTCCCATGAGAAAACTGGGTTCTGGCTTTAGCCGGGGGCGGGGGGGCAGTCCTTACCAAGGTGTCTGAGGGTGCAGAGGATTCCCAACCCCCCAGCTAATCATATGGAAATTGCATGAGTATGTGAGCGTGTTCCTTTTTCTGGGAAGACAGCCCATAGAGCTTAACAGATTTTCAAAAAAGTTTATGACCCCCTGTAAAAGTTCAAAAAATAAAAGTTAGATGAAGAGTGGAAGTCATTGAGAAGTCAGAACTGTTTGTTGTAGGAATTATATATGTGTTTTTACCCAGGGTAAGGAGAGAGGAGATAATTACAGGTGGTCCTTCTCAGATAGGTTGATGATGGATGGATGGATGGATACATTTGATAAATGAATGAAAGGAAGGAAGGAAGGAAGGAAGGGGGAGGGAGGGAGAGAGGGAGGGAGGAAAGAAGGAAGGGAGGGAGGAAGGAAGGAAGGACGGGTGGAAGGGAGGAAAGGAGGGAGAAAGGGAGGGAGGGACAGACGGAGGGAGGAAGGAAGGAAGGGAGGGAGGGATGGAGGGAGGGAGGAAGGGAGGGAGGGAGGAAGGGAGAACTTTTTGCAGAGACTTATTGTAAAGAATCAATATTCGTACCATCTAGGTTTCTTACTTTCCAGTCACTGCCCTCCAAAGATGCTCCTAGGCAAAGATAAAGCCTTCTCAAAGTGGAGAAGCCATTTAGTGGGAAAAAGGGATTTGGCTTCACAACTTTTCCAGAACTATCTCTTGCATAAGACGGGATGCGCTTGAAAACAATCACAGCAAGCCCTTCCCAAGCACTTAGTGGGTGTTCGGCACAGTGCTGAGTACTTTAGGAGTATTATCTTGTTTACTGCTCAGCAGCCCTGGTGGTTTGCACAGTATCATACCTCCCATTTTACAAGGGAGGAAACGGAGGCCCAGGGATGTAATGTCACTAGCCCCCAAGCAAACAGCTGTAGCTGAAACAGAGGGTGCTGGAAGCTAGGTGGGCAGGTCCGGAGCTGGGGCTAGATACAGCCTTCGAGAGCAGTCACGTCCTGTCCTCAGCAATCAGCCCCATATTCATCTTCCACCAAAAAACCTGGACCATGACCACTTGAACCCTACTGTTCTCTATACCTTTAAAGGGATAGCACAGTGAATATACTTGAAATTATCCAGGCTGATTGTCTATACTTGCTAAAAAAAAAAAAAAAAATGGTAATAGTAGACGTAGTAATAGTAATCCCTCCCATTTACTGACCATCTAATACGAGTCAGAATATATATATATATATATATATATATATATATATATATATATATAAAGGCTTTATGTTCATTTTCTTAATCGTATCCTTACAACAAGTTTCCAAAGTGAGTATCAGCATGTTCATTTTACAGATAAAGGTATTGAGGTCCAAGGGGGTTTAAATAGCCTGCTGGAGGTCAGCTAGGAAGTGGAGGGGGCTGGACTGCACTCACACTCTTTTTCTGCGTCTCTGTCTCTTGCTGGGTAATGCAGAGCACAGAGGTACAGGAGCTGGCTTCCTTGTTGGGGCCTGCCTGATGACTGGGGCACAGAAAAGGCCCAGGGGGCTCACTGCCATGGTCAAAGGAGAAGGAAGGAAGGAAGGAAAGGAGGAAGGAAGGAAGGAAGGAAGGAAGGAAGGAAGGAGGGAGGGAGGGAGGGAGGGAAGGAAGGAAGGAAGGAAGGAAGGAAGGAAGGAAGGAGGAAGGAATGGATAAAACATAGCCTATGCCTCAGGCAGCACCAAGATGATAAATTACCCAAATCTAGAGCTGCAATTCCAAAAGTCCTACAAAAAGGGGCAGTAGCCACTGGCGCTGTGAATCAATCCACCCTGAGCCACTCACTCGAGCGTACATTCAGAGGCATGACCCAAGTGTCTCTGGAATTTGGCTATATAGTCTTTGAGGCCAAGGTTCAGTGCCTCATGAGATGTTCTTGTGAAGTTCATGTGCAGGTGGGATCATGGCCCTTAACTGAAATCAGTGGTTGTTTCAGTGCATCCCTTCTCTGGGGTTTTGATCTGGATCTGAAAACCCCAGGGCCTGGAAAGCAAGAAACGCAGCGGGCGGTAGTGATGGCCAACCCCGAGGACAGGGCCGGGGAGGTGGGGGTAGATGAGGTCGCAGCTGCGGCTCAGGGTTGTGGCCGGGAAAACCTGAAGGGGAGGACTACGCCAGTACTGTCAAGTCCAGAGGCCGAGCGGACACAGAATCTGAGAAGTCTTTGGGCACAGCACGCTGCCTGAGTTCCAAGTAAGCAAGCAAGGTCACGGCTAGGCACGATGCCAGACGTGTGGCCCTGTCGCCTGGGATCCTACCAAGCAGGCACAAATAGGGGGTCAGGAGTCTATCTGAACAGCTAGGAGGTCAGTTAAGGCAGGAGGAAACAGTCTGGGTTGGATCCCAGGCCCTGGAGGGAATGAGAGGAACCTCTGGCAAAGGACTCCGTGAGCCTTAAGGAAACCCAGGCACGGAAGACAGGGTCTGCCCTCTGGGGCAGCATGAGGGCTGAGCTTGGCCAGGGAGAATGGGGATCCCAGGAGACTGTGGCTAGTGACCGCACTCCAGAAACCAGGCCAACCCCACACTGCCTTTCTTCCACGGGGGTGGAAGAAATCCACCCTGGTCAGTTCTCAGAGGGTCGCTCTCCCGACTCTACAGTCCTCTCGGCTCTGGCATTTCCTTTCATTTCAGAAAATAAAACTTTGTGTCTCTCAATCTTCAAAGTCATCACATACATTGAGAATAACCTTATGTGTTTAGGATTCTATTGTTATTCAAGGCACTTGTTTTCAGCTCGTTTTCCTCACTAGCCATTTGATGGTGAGCACCCTTCCACGACGCACGTCCCCCATGCCCCTTCCCTGCTTCTTGCTATCTCTCGTCACCTCTTACCTGCAGGTGCCTCTGGCTGGCATCTGGGTATTCAGATTAAGCAAGACACCCTCCAAACCACATCGTCACTGCAAAGATGTTCAAGCCCTAGTCCCTTCATGGGAATTGCTTAAACAATCTGAAGACATTTGCATAACAGACAGTGCGAGAGCCGCTCGCCCGCCCGCCCGACAGTGCCAGGCATCAGGCAGTGCTGCTTCCATGAGCCACCAAACACGGAAAGAGCTGATGCAAAGCAGAGTGTGCGTTAGCCACCCTCCATCCTGTGTTCTCATCTGCTCCAGCTGGTTCCGTGATGTAGGTTGGAAACCAAAAAACCGTGTAAGTTAGAATTGTGTATGAAACAAGAGCCGATGGGCCCCCGTCACACGGGCCCCAGGAAATGAGCATGACAACTTGTTCTGTGACTTCTTGGGGTTCAGTATGGTTTTATGTTCCACTCAGGTTCTTGGCTCCGTCCCAGATAGAGGAGGAAGCCAATTAAGTGATGCTTCCCTGTCCTCCTAATATTCTCTGTTACATTATATGGACTTTACTGCTTTGAAGTTGCCAATTATTTCCTTCTCGCTGCCGTAACATTACTATGGCGTGGTTATCTCTGTGGGGAAAGACAGATGCTTCGAGGTTCCGTGTTTTACTCGTCCGCCCAGGCTGAGAACCACTGGTTTAGGGCAGCCAGGGCTATTCTAGAAACACCAGACTTTCAGATCTCCCTCAGCCGGTCAGAGTTGCAAGGCTCCTCAGAGCGCCTAAAGCCCGGCACACTCGCCTTATCCCTAAGGAAATAGGGTGTGTCTAAGGTTACTAAGGAAACTATTGCCTAATCTGCAACCATCTCCCCCACAGGAGACCTTATGAAATGATTAACAATGACATCCTGGGGAGGACTGTGTGCATTTCTAGCCCATCTTCTCCGGAAAGGATTTGAACCAGCTTACAAACGTGCCTACAAGTACATTTGTAGGCAAACGTATGTAAAAAAAAAAAAAAAAAAAAATTAGGAAGAGACAATAAAGCAAGCGGAAAATAAGGAAGAAGATAGATCTGGGTTTAAGATCCGCACCCAGAACGAACACCACCGAGACGGGTGTGCTCAGTCCGGGACGGCCATAGATTCCATACCAAGACGCCCAACCATCAAGACTAGGGGAGGTACACCAGACCCATGGGGCTCCACTTTTCCTGTTCTCTACCACTTCCTACTTCCCTCTTCAGGCATCAGTTTTCCGGTCTGTCAAATGGGCAAGTCCTGCCTTGTAGAAGCGTTCTGAGGCTCCAGTTAAGTCTCGTATGTAAAAGAAAGCACTCAAAGAATATGGCGCCCAGAAGGGACTGTCATTTTTTTTTCTTGCTGCCTCCTGGTAATGAATTGAACATTACTCATTTTCCTTGGCCACATGAGGTGGCCACCAGCTTTTAGCTGCTGCGGTTGGTCAAAATGAAGTCTATATCCATTTTAAGAACACAAGGGGCGCCTGGGTGGCTCGGTCGGTTGAGCAACCCACTTCGGCTCAGGTCATGAACTCACGGCTCGTGAGTTCGAGCCCCGCGTCGGGCTCTGGGCTGACAGCTCAGAGCCTGGAGCCTGCTTCCCATTCTGTGTCTCCCTCTCTCTCTGCCCCTCCCCTGCTGACGCTCCATCTCTCTCTCTCTCTCTCTCTCAAAAATAAACATTAAAAAAAAAAAGAGGAAAGAAAAAGAACATAAGCACCGTCCAAACACTGGATGAGAAGCCTTGTAACATCTTTCTGAGCTCCAATTATGCCAGTTTTTACCATCACACCTTTCCCCCTTTCCTTGCTTCAGTTGGAGGGGGGTGCGGGGGTGGAAATCAAGGTACTTGGGAGCCGCAGGGAATGTGAAATTCTAAAGTAAAGTTTAAGTACCCTGGAAAATGCCCGTTTTCTGGCTCAGGGACGATGTTGGGCAATAAAGAGGAAAGAGGAGGGTTGAGAAGAGCAGAGGGAGCCCCTGCAGGGGCCTGTCCGGGTGTCCTTTGGCGGGCATGGCACCTACCTGTCGTCACTCAGACGGTTTCCCCAGATTGAAGCTTTGGGGATGGGATCAGGCATCTTCTGAACACAGGCCAGCATTTTAGCTGAAAGCTGACTAGTGCTTAAGATCGGGCATGTTGTGATTCTAAATGGAGAGTGAGGGCAGAGGGGCCACCGAATCTCGGGGGACAGAGCTTCAGGGGCCTCAGCTGGCCTCCTCCATGCGGCATGTGTTATACTCACCAAGGCGAGCCGCTCAATATACAAGGGCGCTAACAGCAAGAACAACCATACAACTACCACGATAAGAGAAATGTCATACAAATAACACACACCTGGTCTGTTTGGTTTGGGGTTGAACATGAGAAGGTCACGGTGGGCAAAGGGGGTCTAGCATCCTCCCTGGGAAGTCACTGGCCCCTCCTGCTATTGCTTCCAGCGCCTGCAGCACTGTGAAAGAATAAACAGCAGGTGGATAAATCACC